CAGCCGCACAGGTTGGGGTCAGATTTGGGAAGCAGCGGCCTGACCGGGCCCCACCCCCCATCCCCTTCCCCCGCAGGCCAGATGGGGGCCGGCCTCCATGCTGCTGGTCCAGCCTGTCTCCGTCTCCGTCAGCCACTCACACGCCCGTCTCCCTGCTCAGGCCCGTGCTCCCCTCCGCGCTGGGCAGCCGCCGGGAGGGTGGGCCTGGCCTTTGCCTCCAAACTGCAGCGGGGCCAGCGGGGGTGCCCTGGGCCCCAAGGGCACTGGTGTGTGTCAGGGGGTCCATAGCCCCATGTGGGGGTGTGGCCTGGGCTGGGGCCTGGGCACCAGATCCCCGCCCCCACCTCGAGGCCACGGGATCGCACAGAACCCTGGCAAGGCCCTCGACTGCTCGTCCACTCAACTGCCGGCCAGATGGTCATGACCTTAAGGAACCTGAAGACATTCAGCAAATCCAACCGTGAACTCGTTTCTCCTGCGGAAACTGGGCGCCTGGCCCTGGGGCGAGTTGGGGGACGGGTGGGAGGGCGGAGGGCGGAAGCCTCTCGCTGGCAGGCGTGGCTGGAGGCCTGCACACCTGGACAGCCTGGCACGCGGGCTGGGCCCGATCCCTGTCGCTGTACGGCCAGCCCCAGGGACGTCCGAGTCAGACCCTGACCAGGACCCGCCCGCTGACGCCCCTGCCCGGCGCCCCTGCCGGTGGGGAGTGCGCGCACCTTTCGTGTCCTCGTCCTCGATGGTCGTGTGGGCGCTGTCCGACGAGTCCTGGGGAGACAGGGAGGCAGGGTCAGCACGCGGCTGCCCGGCCCGCCATGGGGCCTGGGGGTCAGGGGCCTGGGAGGTGCCCGTGCAGGACCCTGGCCCCAGAGACGCACAGGCAGCCGGGCTCCGTGTGACCCCAGGTCCCACCGCCCACGTCCCAAGGCAACACCATGTGCGCGGTGGGAAGACTCTGCTCAGAGGGAGCCCGGCCCGAGAGAGTCCCGAGGCTCCTGGGACGCGGGGAGGCACCCAGAGTGGGAGGGAACCTGGGTGGCCCAGCAGAGTGTGGGGCGCCCACACCTCCTTCCCGGCCTCCTCTGTCTAGCCGGGCCTGGTCCACCCCTCCAGTGGCCTGGGAGCCCAGATGCTGCCCTTCAGATAACAAAGCAGCTGCCACCCACCCATCACCAAGCTCCCAGGCAGCCTGCTCCCCAGAAGGGGTATCCCCACAGGGTCCCGAGGGACCCCCTCCCGCCTGGCGAATGTGGCTCCGGGCTTTGGGCCAACAGGAGGGTCTGCCTGTCGAGACCCAGGACTCATGCCACAGCCCAGAAGGCTGTCCAGGGAGCCCCCTCCCTGCGCCGGGGGCCTCTGAGGAGCCCGTGGCTGGGGATCCAGCTGCAGGCCTGGGTTCGGGTTGGGGGTGCCTGTCCTGGAAACAGCTGGGGACCCGCCACCCGAGGGCCAGCCCTTCCCTGCCCTTGAGATGCGGGTGGGATGGGAGCCGATGAGGAGCGGAGAGGAGTGGAGCGGCCAGCCCGCAGGGAGCTCTGGCAGCAGGTGACGGTGGGCGGGGTCACCGGTCTGGGCGCCCCCCCCCAGGCCCCGCACTCAGCCAGGGCAGAGTGGACAGGGTGGACGGCAGCCAGGAGGTCCTGAGAAGTGGCCCCACTCTGCCATCATGGACCCTGGGCCCCTGGCCCCAGCGGGCTGGGAGCAGCGATGCCTCCACAGGCAGCGCCCGGGGCCTTCCCGGCAGGAGCAGCGGTGGACACGTGGGCCGTGCTGCCTCGAGATGGGTTTTGGGACACCTGCCCCCACAGGGTCAATGCCCAGCCCTTCCCGGGGCCAGGGGTCTGCCTCCGGCCCCCCACAGAAGCTCCCTGAGGGTGAGGGCAGTACCTTGATCCCGTCCACAGGGTTATGAATGACGGTGGTTTGAGGTTCCTACAGAGGAAGGAAGGAGGCAGTGAGAGGAGGGGCCGCGGGCGCCCAGCAGAGCCGAGGAGCAGAGGGGACAGGCAGCGATGGAGGGGGCCGTGGGGAGCAGCTGCGAGGGGGAGGGGCAGCGATGAAGCAGGCGTGAGGCCCAGGCCGTGGGGATGCAGAGCTTGGCCCGGGCGGGGGAGAAGCTGTAGGGCCGGCTGCGGAGGGGCTGGCACGGGGCCTGGGCTGGAAGACGGTGGGGGATGCAGGGGCCGGGGGGGTGGAGGAGCCCAGGACAGGCTGGCTGTGAGGCCGCACGGGGCTTCCCCTGCTGGGCCTGGACGCCCTGAGCAAACCCCGCCTTCCCGGGGCGTCAGGTGGGCCCCTGTACCCGGCCGCCCTGAGCCCCCTGCCCCCTGAGCATCACTGAGAACAGGTGGACCAGCAACCCCACCTCTATGGCCACAACCCGACCACCAGCTGTGGGGTCTCCTGGACAGGACCCCCCCACCCCAGGTGAGGCCTGGAGCCCAGGATCCTCCCCAGCAGGGGGTCCCCATGTTGGCCAGCCCCTCCCCTCCCTCTGGGCAGCCACAGGCCAGCAGGGCCCATCCCACACCTGCCCGGGGCCCCTGCCTCCCTGCAGATCACGGTGGCACAGAGTGAGACCAGCCCACCCCCGTCCTGGGAGGCTGTGCGGGGGCCCCGTCCTGGGAGGCTGTGCGGGGGGCCCGTCCTGGGAGGCTGTGCGGGGGCCCCGTCCTGGGAGGCTGTGCGGGGGGCCCGCTGCCACCGTCTCCCTCGGAGCCTGTGCGGGGCAGCACCTGGTCTGTGCCGTGGCCCCTGGTCCCCTGTGGGCCTCTCACCACGGACCCACCAGTGAGGCAGGAGTTGGCCTGTCGGCTGCTGAGCGGGGCTCTTGACATAGCCTCACCCCTCACCCCTCACCCTACCCCTCACCCCACCCCCAAGGAGCAGCGGGGCGGGGGGGCGTGTCATCCGTCAGACCGGCTGGAGGGCCCCACCGCCGCCCAGGCCTCCTGAGGGGCGGCTGCCACAGGCCCGGCTCCCGGGCCAGGAAGGGGGCGGCGGGCCAGTACCAGGGTGGCTGGAGGGAGCGTCCCCTTGGGGCTGGTGGCAGCGGCGCTGTTCTTGGTGCTGTTGGTCGGGGTCTGCAGCAGAGACAGAGGGCGTCAGGGGGAGACCGAGGGCCTCCCTCGGGCGGCCTGGGGAGCCGGGAGCCGGGAGCCGGGAGCCTCACCTTCACGCCGTCAGCCTTCTTGGTCAGCATGCTCTTGGCTGCTGCGTGGGGAGGAAAAGGCACCGTGAGGGCCGCCCTCTGCACCCCCGGCAGCGTGACCTCGGGGCCCACAGGTGCCGGGCTCCCCACGAGTGAGGCAGGGGTGGCTGCCCGGGGGCCCTGGGGGACCAAGATGTCTCCCCCTACGGGGGACCCTGGCTGCGGGGTCAGGCCGTCTGTGAGGAGGCAGGCGGGCTGGGCGGCGAGCATCCCTCCTCACTGCATGTTCGCAGCGGGTGGGGCTGCCGCTGGCTACCCACAGGCCGGCCTGTCCCCACCCCAGGTGCCTGTCTGCCGCGGCCTCTGGGCCCCTCCACTGGAGGAAGGGCTCAGCTCTGCCCCCGCGGCCGCAGCCCGAGGCCCCTCTCCTCTGGGGCCTCTTCCTGGCCTTGCCCGGCAGCTGGAGCTGCCACCTCTGTGCCCACCCTCCCGGGCTCCGGTGAGGTCAGTAGGATGACATGCGTGGGGGAGGGTCAAAGGCCACCTGTACCCCAGGCTGCCCCCACCCCTCCGACGCCCAGGCCTGGCCGCTTGCCGCCCCCCGCCCCCCGTGGAGGTCAGGGCAGCCTCCGGCCTCCCCTCTGCCCTCCACAGCTCTGGCCTCAGCCCCAGCACCTGCCCTCCACAGAGGCTCATTTTAATGACAGAACTGCAGAGAAGGAAGTCAGCTTACCTCGCACAAAGGTAAGGGGGAGGGGAGGGCGTGAGGGGGAGAGAGAAAACAGGTTTGTGTCAGTTCAGGCAGAGCGCAGCCCCGCCCAGGACCACAGTGCGTCAGTGCGTCCTGCCCCCCTGCCCCCGCCAGTCAAGCAGTGCCCAGCAGGCCGGCGGGTGTGGTTCGAGAAGCAGGGAGGGTCCCTCGCCCGGGCCTGGGCGGCCCCGAAGGCTCCGGCTGGCCAGCTCTGAAGGGTTGCCTGTCCCAGGGACTGGGACAGGGACGGGTTAGGACGGGGCAGGGGGGGCACAGAGGCCCGGGAGCAACCACCTGCTGGGAGCCGAGACTTAGACCCAGAGAGTGTGGGTCCCCTGCTGGCAGCATTAGCACCCCCTGGACCCCCAGGCCCTCTGAGGCGGAAACTTGGGGGGTATCTGCTCAGCAAGCCTCTGAGGGGGACCCGATACTGCTCAGCTGGGAAGGGGGTCGGGACCAGTGCAGTGGCCAGCGGGGGCCAGGGCCTCATGGCCGCCCTCGGGCTCTGCGTGGGGACAGGAGGCTGCAGGGGTCAGAGGCCCTCAGGCTCTCCGAGCAGCTGCACTGGACATGGCTTCCTGCTCCCCAGGGCCTGTCCCTCCTCTCACAAGCTCCCCTCCTAGCCCGGCCCGCGTGGCTCAGTGGTGAGCGTCGACCTATGAACCAGGAGTCACAGTTCGATTCCTGGTCAGGGCACAGGCCTGGGTTGTGGGCTCCATCTCCAGTGTGGGGCGTGCAGGAGGCAGCTGATCCATGATTCTCTCATCACTGATGTTTCTATCTCTCTCTCCCTCTCCCTTCCTCTCTCTAAAAGCAATGAATATCTATACATACATATTTTTTTTTGTTAATCCTCATCCAAGGAAATTTTCCCATTGATTTTTAGAGCGAGTAGAAGAGAGAGGGAAAGACAGAGAGAAACACTGATGTGAGAGAAATACATCGATTGGTTGCCTCCTGCACGCGCCCGGACCAGGACCCAGACCGGGAAGGAGCCTGCAACTGAGGTACGTGCCCTTGACCAGAATCGAACCCATGACCCTTTGGTCCGCAGGCCGACGCTAGTCTATCCACTGAGCCAAACCGGCCAGGGCGTATACATACATACATATTTTTTAAAGCTTCTCTCCCAGCATCCTCAGGGCAGCGCTGAGCCAGCAGCCTGCCTCTCATTGGCCTCCCTCTGTGAGAAGCGCTGTCTGTTGGGTCCCAGAGAGTGAAGGACCCCAGACCGTCCTTTCCTCGTCCCCCCACCCCCCAGGCCCTCCAAGGGCCGGGCCAGGGCAGCCGGACTCAGCACGCTGACAGACACCCTGGCGGCCCTGCCCTCAGGCATCCGAGGACCAGAAATGCCTGGGGCCGCGTGGAAGCCTCCCTCCAGACAGCCCTGCAGACCCAGCGTGGGTCTCCCCCAGCACAGCCCCTCTGCCCCGGGACAGGGGAGCCCCACTCCCCTCAAGGGAAGTGGTCTGAGGTGGCGCCCAGGGCCCCCTGTCCGGCTGGCTGACAGCTGGGCCTGCAGGAGAGGCATCAGCCGTCTCAAAGGCACTTGCCCTGGGGCTGAGCACGCTGACCCCCCCCCCCCCTCCGATTTGAGACGGGGGTGGGGCACCAGCCTGGGCCACCGGCTTTCCCGGCGGCTTTGCCAGGCTCTGAGTCAGAGGCAGTGCCGCCTGTGCTGCTCCCGGCAGAGACGGAGTCGGTTCTGCCCAGTCTTCCCGTGGGCAGCTCGCAGGCCCCTGGGTCAGGCCCAGGCAGAGGGTCCCCTTCAGTCCCCGATTCTGTGAAACCCCTCTGGACGCAGCGGCGAGCGCCCGGCCTGGGGTTTACCCAGCTCCCCTCCAGCCCCTGTGCCAGCCGGTCTCCTAGCAACGCTGTCCCCGGCGACTCTGAACCCCGCTGAGTCCCGTCTACACCAGCAAAGGCCCGGGAAGCTCACGCGTGGTTACCCGGCAGCAGCCAAGGGCCTCAGCACACGCACCCCAGGCCCCGGGAGAGACGCGCCACCCTCCACCGCCCGCGCCCCTGGGCCGGCCAGGCCGTGGCTGCCCAGTCCCGCCCAAGGCCATGCGGGGCCCGACCAGGGCTCTGACGAACGGCAACATCTCTACAAAGACACCCAGACTTCCGCGGGCTGAGGGTGCCGTCACCCACAGAGAAGCCAGGCCTCGGACCTGAGACACCCCCACCCCCACCGCGTCTGCTGGGGTCGGTGAGGCCAGTCCGGTCACGGGGCAGCCATGCTGGTCCCCCACATGCACTGACCTCCCCCCGACAGTGGCCCTCAGTGCCCAGGATGGAGCCCCCATGCACGCGGCTCATGCAGGAGGCGGCGTTGCGGGCGAGCAGGTAGGGCAGCTCCAGCGCCCGCCTCACTCCTGTGCCGGTCAGCAGGGCTGCACCGGGAGCCTCTGGCCTCACGGTCCCTGCTCCCTAACCGCCCGCCCCGGTGCTTCAGAAGGACCCAAAGGATGAGGCACTGGACAGCCCTTTGGGGCCCCTGCGTGTCCCCGAGGCTGGCCCCGCCCCAGTGCCCGGAGGAGGCAGCTGGAATGCCGGGTCCTCTCAGGGAGCTGGGGCTGCCCAGGCTGTGGATCGGAGCAGAGCTGGGTGGGTGTGCAGGAGGGAAAGGGGTGGGGCCCTCAGCTGTGGCCCTGCCCTCAGCGGGCACCTCCCGCAGCTGGTGCTGGGCTGCGGGCCCACGAGGAGGACGAGGTCGGCAGCCCTCGGGGTCCGGCCAAGGCCACAGGTGGGCGGGAGCAGACCTGGGCCTCCTGGGGGCAGAACCAGCGTCTCCCCTCATGGTTGGGGGCGAGGGGAGAGGGCCCTTGTAGAAAGAACCTGGAGGCCTTCAAAGTTATTCTCGGGGCGGCTAGGGCCCCGCCGGGGGTTCACGGGGCGACTCGGCACAGACCCCCGCGCCACGTGAGCAGCGGAGCCAGTGTATGTTGCGTGAGGGGTGAGGGGGGGCGGGGTGTAGAGGGGCACCTGGCCAGGTGGACAGATGTCGTAGGATCTCAGGGCCTCCTCCTGAAGAACCCCCCATCAC